TATTATTTATTTTTTACTTTTTATTTTTTGGCAGAGCCGGGGATTAAACTCAGGCACTTGCGCTTGCCAGGGAAGCACTTATTCTACTAAACCATCTCCCCGGCCCCTAAACTACTTAATTTTTTTTTCTGAACTGGGGATTGAACTCAGGCCCTATGCATTTGCCAGGGAAGTGCTTAGTCCACTGAGCCATCTTCCCGGCCCCAAGCTATTTAATTTTGAGCTAATTTTACATTTACAGAAAGGTATGTATTTTACATTTACATTTTACATTTACACAAAGAAATGTATACAAAGACGCCCCATCCTTCTTTCACATAACCTTCTCACATGTTCACATCTGACTTTGCTATATTACAGAATCAGAACCAAACGGCACAGTCGTTAGCATGTTCAGAGTTTACCAGATCTACATGCATGTGTGTTTTTGTGTGTGTCAGGTTGACTATACCATCGCCACCCTACATATTACCTGTTTATTTCCATATCTATCCCCTATATGTGTCCTTTAGTAACCATTGATCTGGTCTTTAGCTCTGGATGACATTATTTAATGAGTTTTTTTTTTTTTTTTTTTTTGGTGGGGGGACCAGGGATTGAACTCAGGCCCTTGCACTTGCCAGGGAAGGATTTGATGAGTTTTTATATATGAGTGAATTCACGAAACATGTATCCTTTTGAATTACTTTGTTTTTGAGCATTTTGACACACTTGTGCTTACTAATGGTTTAGCAGGGAAGTGTTCATATTTTTTTTCATTCAGTAGGTTTAGCTTGCCAACATGTAAGTCATGCCATCAGTGTGAATCATGTGAAGAAAGCAATAGCTGAGAATCTGTGGTCAGTTTGTTCGGAATGTTTAAAGGAAAGAAGATTGTATGATGGACAACCAGTACTTCCTTCAGACATTTGGTTGTGCCTTAAGTGTGGTTTTCAGGTAAGAAAAGCGTTACCTATGTATCACGTGTGTGTGTGTGTGTGTGTGTGTGTGTGGTACCAAGGATCGAACTTGGGACCTTGCGCTTGCCAGGCAGGCGCTTATGCCGCTGAGCTATATTCCTTGCCCCTAAGTTCACTTTAGATTGTTTTAGGTAAATGCTGTATATCAAAAAGTAAGTTAGTCTCTTTGTAGAAATTAATAGGAATCTATATTGCTTTGTGAAACTGTTTTCTCTTGCTTGAAATGAAAAATGATGTTTTCAGTATAGTCAAGTCCAACTTAAATTTTTTTTTTTTTTTTTTTTTGAGGGACGAATAGTGGGTCCATGTTTGGCATGTGTTGCCAGTTATGATTTTTTTTCCATAATTTTATTGAGAAATAAATAGCAATGAGACAGTTTCAAATCAAATTGGTAGGACACAACCTAAATTTTATTGATTTGAAAAATATTTACTCTTGTTCATCTCTAGGGTTGTGGTAAGAACTCAGAAAACCAGCATTCATTGAAGCATTTCAAGAGTTCCAGAACCGAATCTCATTGTATTGTAATTAATCTGAGCACATGGATTATTTGGTAAGTTAAATTTTGTTAGTACTGTTGTCCACCAAAAACAGAACAAAAACACCATGCCTTTTTTTTTTTTTTTGAACTTTACAAGATAAAAGATGCTATATAAGTTTGTGAATTTTTAGTCTGAAAACAATCTATAGTATAGTTTAAGAAGATTAATGTTTCCCATGAATGTAAAGTTTGTCAGAAAAAAACCCTAGTTTTCCTTCTGCTTTCTTCTGACATTTTCTTTGTACTATAAAGAAAAATTCCATCTAGCTGGTTTTTCCTGATGTACTTGCTAATACAGAATTCCAGAATTCTATCAGAGGAAGATACTTTAAGCCATCATGTGGTTTGGTGGTTCCCTAGGGGGAACAGAAAGCCTATGCCTAAGTAGTTTGTAAAAACTTCCCACATAGCCAGATGTGGTGGCATACTGCTGTAATCCCAGCACTCCGGAGGCTGAGTCAGGAGGGCTGCTGTGAGTTCATGGCCAGCCTGGGCTATGTAGCAAGACACCGTAAAACACACAAATTCTCAGATGATTTTGGTACTTCACCTGTTTAAAAACCTACCTGAGTTCCATCATTTTAGGTGCAAAGAAACTAAATATTATTTGCTTTTTTTGGATTAAAAGTAAAAAGTAAAAATTCAAGCACTGAAGACAAGAGTGTGTACATGTGTGGTGCTGGGATCAAACACAGGGAAACTCTGTCAGTGAACTCTCGCCAGCCCTTTTTGTTTTTTTACTTTGAGGCAGGGTCTTCAGAGATGTTCAGGCTGGCTTCAGGCTTCCCATTCTCTTGCCTGAGGAGTAACTAGATTACAGGCAGGCGTCATCATACCCCGCTGAAACAAATTTTTGGTTCCTTAGATTCCTACCAGCATAGTACACTGTTTCCGTAACATGTTGTAGTGGATTGTTAACTGGTGGTCAGCTTGTTATACCCAGCTGAGTTAAACCAGTGTGGTGCTGGGTGTGGGAGGCCCACCTGAGGGTTGTTGTTACCAGCAGCATAAGAGGCAGAACTGGAGAAGCTGTGAGAAGCTGTTTGGTGATGCTGTTGGAAGCTGCTGGCTCTCTTGGGCTGTTCTGCTGGAGGACCATGGCATGCTGCCTTTCCCGGTGAACTTGGCTGTTGCTGTTGCTAGAGGAGCTCGGGACCTTTGTTGTTGCTGAGAGTGGCTGCGGTTCATTTTTGGGGAGCTCTGGTCTTGAGCATCGCTTTCTGGCTCTGGAGGGGAATATGCTGCACTGCTCAGCCTCATGGAGAAGCTAGTCGCATTGGCTTTCCGGATGGGAACTCAGCTTTCCTCATCACTGGAGGAGCTCGGGACCTCACTGTTGCTGAGGACGGCGGTGGTACTTTTCGGGGGAGCTCTGGTTCTTACCTTGAGCACTGCTTCCTCGCTCCAGTTCAGATCCCTCAGCTGGCTAGCACACAGCCTTCATCCCGCTGGCACACGCTTTCTAGCTTTTGCCACTGAACTTGGGCCTTCCCAGCGCAGATCTGTAAAGTGGGCCTGTATGAGACGTTGTCATGGGCTCTAGGCCTGCAATTGGACTTGTGAGAGGCATTGTTATGGGGTCTAGGTTTTCAGCTAGACTCATGCTGAATATTAGGAACCAGGCCCTCAGCTGGATTCTTTGGTCTTTAGTGTGTGGACAGATTTTCTGCACTCCTTGCATATGATTTTTTTTTTTTTTTTAAATGTATTTAGTACAGGGTCTATAGGGTCTCACTACACAGATTGGATTTATAGTGATCCTTCCTGTTTCTCAGCCTCCCAAGTGCTGGGATTATAGGTGTGTGCCACCATGTTCAGTGTCATTCTCCCTTTCAGTGCGTCCCGGGGGTGCGGCCAGCACAGCAGGCTGGGGATTGAACTCCTGGCCCACATATGATTCTTGGGTGATGCATTATAAAATAATAGTATATAATGTGTCCTGTATTGTGTTGTTCTCCTTGCAAAACCTCAAACCACGACACGTGTGTAAATATTATTTTGAACTATTTTCTCTGTGTTTTACAACAGTAATTTTCTAATTAGAATCTGTGAATCCATAAAGTTCCTTGAGTGGATTTTCAGGAGTCTTCAAGCTTTCTTTAAGACAAACATGCTTTATCTCTGTGTTCTATTTCCACCTTCTAAAATTCATACAAGGATATTTTGGATCATAGGAGACAGTATTACTTTATAATATGATGCAGTTGTAGGGGTCTGGTGTTTGCTGCACTTACGTTTTTGTTATTGGTGTGTGTGAGGAAAGAACGGAGAGAAATTAGTATGTAACTAATGCATTGGAGGCAGGAGAAAGATGATGGCAGGTTGATGCCATAGTGTAGTGGTGTGATAAGTGTTTTCCTGTAGTGGTCTCAGACTATGGGCTGCATCACAATTACTTGTTAAGACACAAGCTTCATCGTAGGTCTAAAGATTTCATGGTTCTGAGTGTGCCTGAAGGTTTGCACATCCAACAGGTTGCTGAGTGTTACCAGTGCTGCTAGTCTGTGGGTCAGGGTGAAAACCAGTGAAATAGAAAGGTTGGCAGGAAAACTAAGTGACACTTAGAAGAATAGGGTCATCTGAAGCGACTCTGTGCCATAATCTCTGTTGTAAGTCTTACTGTGTGAATGGTGATTTAATTTTCAGCACAAAGTCTTATCCAACATAATAAGATATAAAATAATAAATAATAAAAAGTTATATCTTTCCCATTTCTCTTCTGTCATTTAGTAATCAAAATGAAACCTTTGCAGTTATTTTATCCCTTTTTAAAACTTATTTTTTTTATGTATTTGGTACAGGGTATCACTATGCAACTTGGACTCATAATGATCCTCCTGTTTCAGCCTTCCCAGCACTGGGATTATAGGCGTGCACCACCCTGTCTGGTCTTGATGGCCAGCTCGGTGCACCTGGGGTCCGGTCTGGTGCAGTATGTCATACTGGGCTTGAATCCTGGTCTCTGTGCTTGCCTAAGCAGGTGCTTAGTCTGCTGAGCTATCTTGCCGGCCCTATTGTATCCCTTAAAAAAAAAAAATCTTATAGTTTTTTTAATCTTTTAACAAAAGTAGACAAGTGGTACATTGAGTTCCTCTGTACTCATTACCTGCCTTTGGGCAGTTATCAGCTCACAGCAAATCTTATTTTACCTAGGCCAGTGTCTGAGTACTGTTGATGTTTTACCTGTAATCCTTTGCTGTGATCAATTTTTTGTTTGCACTGTTGTCTAGGTAGTTTAGCAGCATCCCTAACCTCTACCCACTAGATGCCAGTAGCTGCCAAGAGATGACCAGAAATATCTCTAACCATTGGGAAAGTCCCCATGGGGACAAAATGGTTGAGAGTCACTGATACACCCATTCCTGCTTCTCCCATCCCACCGCAGTTACTTTGACACTCCGTCTCCCTCCCCTTATACTTCTGTCTCTGTGCTGTTTCTATCTGCAGTATATGAAATACGTCCACTTCTCTCCAGATTCTTGGTACTATACTGATCTCTCTTTCCATTCCTAATTCTCTCCAGTCTAGTTTATCATATTCAGGATGACGTTTTTTAACTATAAATTGTGCTGTCATTGTCTTGCTAAAATCTCCCTGGTATTTCATTATACATAAGGTAAACTTCAGAACTTCAGTTTGAACTATGAAGCTCTGTGTGACCTTGTCTCAGAAAACAACAGCAAAAAGTAAAGACAAGGGCCAGGGATTTGATCCCCCAGGCCTGCCTGCTGGCCCCATCCCCAGGGCACGCTGAGATGGCAATTGAGACTGGGCATGGTGGCGCACGCCTATAATCCCAGCTCTGGGGAAGCTGTAGACAGGTGGATCACTACGAGTCAGATCTACTAGTGAGACCCTGAACACCTCAGAAACCCTTCCCTCAAAATACAAAAATAAATGAATAAAGACAAAAGTGATCAAATGCCAAATTTATTTCCTCATATGTAAGGTTATTTAAGGTACTTTTGTAATATTTGATTTAAATTTATGTTTTTCAGGTGTTATGAGTGTGATGAAAAATTATCAACACATTGTAATAAGAAGGTTTTGGCCCAAATAGTTGACTTTCTTCAGAAACATGTTTCTAAAACACAAACAAGTAAGTGAAATAATTGGTAAAAGAATTTATGTTTACATGTATTTTTGTACTTCACATAAAGGATTCATAAATTCATGAAGATTCACTGTGTCATTGTGGTCTGTAATTTGAGTAAAGAGATTGTGATGGTGAAAGCCTTTTTGTTTGTTTGGTTTTTCCTTGTTTTGGGGGAGTGGAGCTTTGAGCCAGGGTCTCATTATTTAGTTTGGCTGGCTTTGAACTAGTGGTGATTCTCATGGCTCAGTTCCCAGGTACTGGAATCACAGATGAATGCCAGCATGCCTGGTTTGTTTGTTTCTTGAGAAAGTCTTGCCGTGTAGCTCAGTCTGGTTTTGAACTGCTTGTGTAGCCCAGGTTGGACTTGAACTTGCAGTGACCCTCCTGCTTCAGCTTCCCAGGTTCTGGGACTGCAGGTGTGCACCACCATGGCTGGCAGTGATGGCTGATCTTGTTAACTTGATTGGCTTGAGAGACGCCTAGGCCATTAGTGAAGCGCACTTCTGTGTTTGGGTGTGTTGTGGGGCATTACCTTGGTGTTTTACATTTCTTATTCTAAGACAAAGTACCTGACACCCATAGTAAAAGGAAGAGAGGTTTATTGTAGCTCCTAGTTTGTGGTGTGGTAGAGGGACATCGAAGGGGAGCAGCAGTCCAGCGGAGGGCAGATAGGCAGCAGTGGTCTCCCTTTGTGTGCCATCTAGGCTACATCAAACCCAGGTTGGGTCTTTCTGTTATCCATATGCAGAATTATACTAAACCAATCAGTGGACTAATTTAGTAATTGCTCCCCCATCCCAGCATTGTATTCTTAATCCCAGTGTCACACACCCTGGATCCTGCCACCTCCAAAAAGACTTTGGAGGGATATCTGGATACAGGCTTCACCCTCGGGGACCACGGCTGGCCTCTGGCACCTTCCCCTGCTGCTCTTCCGCTTTCCATTTCAGACTGCTGGGAACTAAGCAGCTTCCTCTTCATGATGTTTCTTCCTTGAATCCAGCTGACTACAGTCTGAAACTATGAGCCAAAAAACTTCTCTTCCTTTAAATTATCAGATATTTCCTCCCAGTAACAGAAAGGTGATACAGCTATTACATCATACATTCTTAGCTGGCGATCTCATCAGGTGGTCTTATGATGTGAGTAGGTAACCAGTATGAAAGCTGAAGTTATGAGTGACTAGATGAAGGGCTTTTGAGTCACCCAGTTCTGGAACCACATGGGGCTCCCCCACTTGCTGGCTGTGAGGACTCTCTGTTGTGAGGCTTAGGAATAATATTTTATAAACATGTAGAAAGAATGTCTGTAAAAACACACATGATGCCTGACACATATTCATGAAGTAGTCTTTATTATTATTTACTATACAGGTGCAGTGCAGTTCTGATGCCAGCTACCTGGACTTAGGCCCGACTTCGTGGTTAAAAAGCGCAGGCTGTGCACAAGTATACTCTGACTGCAGATGCCAGCCATTAGCTCAGGTTTCCAGGCCACCATATTCCTGACTAACCAGCCATAAATTTGGGGGTTCTTCAGATTTGATAATTCACTAAAGTAATTTGGAAAACTCAGGAAAGTGCTGTACTTACAGTTATGTTTTATTATAGCAAAAAGGAATGCAAATTGGGATCAAGTGAAAGAAGAGACACATATGGAAAGGTCTGAGAGGGTCCCAGAAATGGAGCTTCCATGTCCACTCTGCAGGGAGTGAGGAGATAACAACCTACCCCCAACACACACTGTGCAATGAGACAGGAAGCATCTCTCTCTTTTTTTTTTTTAATTTTAGGGAAGGGTCTATAGGGTGTTCAGAGTCTCACTAGTAGAATGGACTTGTGATCCTCCTGTTTACAACCTCCCAAGAGCTGGGATTACAGGTGTGTACCACCACGCCCAGTCTCAATTGGCTCAGCACGCCTGGGGGCGGGGCCAGCAGGGCAGGCCCAGGGATCGAACCCCTGATCCCTAGGGAGCATCATCAACTAGGGAATCTGGTACTGAGAGCTCGTACTGGGTTTTCATTGGGTAAGCATGACTGCTTGCATCACTGGCCTCTTCAGTTCAGGCTTTAGTGTCCCAGCTCCAGTCATGTGGTTTGTCCTCCGGGCCTGGCCAGTTCATCCTGACTCATCTTTAGCATAAATCGCCTAGGAAACCTGATGAGTCACTTTGTCAGCACGAATTATGGACTGCGACTCAAAGGGCTGACTGTGACTAACAGTGCCCCTGTTACTCTGGAAACCAGGAATTTAGAGACTACCAGCCAGGAAGCTGGAGCATAGGGCGGCCAGATCCTTGGTTGTATGAGTGCGATATATTGTGTATCATATACTTTGTTACTGTGTATTTTTTTTTTTTTTTTTATGTATTTAGGGCCAGGGAGATGGCTCAATAGAATAAGTGCATCCCTGGCAAGCACAAGGGCCTGAGTTCAATCCTCGGTTTAATTTTAAATAATTCAAATTTATTTTTATTAATTTTAAAAATAAATAAATTTTTAAAAAACTAAAAAAATTATTTAGTACAGGGGCTACAGGGTCTCACTATACAGATCGCCCTTGTAGTAATTCTGCTGTTTTCAACCTCCCAAGTGCTGGGATTACAGGTGGGCCACCATGCACAGTCTGTCTCTGTCTCAGCGTGCCCTGAGGGCGGGGCCAGCAAGGGCTTGCCTAAGCGGGTGCGTTAGTGTGCAGAACTATCTCGCCAGCCCCTGTACACTGTGATGTGATGATAGGAAAAGCATTTAGGGAACCAGTTCCTTTATCCAAAAATAAATGCCTCCCACATGCCAGATCTTACACTTGCTCAGTATTGAATGGTGAAAAAATTTTATCTTATTGCTGTGTTGAGGTTTAGAGCATAGTGAAGGAGGCAAAAAATAAGCAAATATATAAATTCTGGTAAGTGCTACAATGAAGAGATTGCAGTGATAGGTAATAATATTCCAGGATTCACCGTGGCTGAGAGAAGCCAGTATGACTGACGCATAGTTTTTTGGGAGAGAATAGAACGAGCTGAAGGTACAAGGTAGGTGTGCAAATCGTGAAGGATTGCTTAAGGAATTATGTGGTGGAAAATTTTCAGTTATAAAGTATACTGGAAGTTATTAAAATGTTTTAAGCAGGGAGTGTCATAGTCATTTTAGTTCCTGTTTTTTAAAAATAAAGAACTTGGGGGCCTGCCCCTGAGCTCAGTTCTTTAAGTGACTGCTTCAGCAAAGCAGTCAGGCTCAGGTTGCTGTGGTTCGATCCCCACAACTCAAGCCAGCCAAACCTGCCCTGAAGGCATTCGGAGCAAAAAAAAATAAGTAAAGAACTGATTACTATATGGAGAGAGAGGGCAGGGGTTAAGGGCGGACAGTGAAATTGGGGGAATCGCTGGGCAGGTCATAGGAGGTTATGATGGCAGGGCAGGTGAGTAAGTGGAGGAAGCTCTGGTGAAGGTGGGTGGGAAAGTGGGAGGAATGAGGTACAATCCTCAGGACTTTGCGCCACAGGTGAGAGGGTGTGAAAGGATATGTAAATTTATTTATTTATTTATTGGCAGAACTGGGATTGAACTCAGGCCCTTGCACTTGCCAGGGAAGCACTTATTCTACTGAGCTGTCTCCCTGGCCCCATTTTTTTTTTTTTTAATCTTTATTTATATGTGTGGTACAGGGTCTCACTATGCAGCTCAGACTTGTAATGTTCATCCTGTTTCAGCCTCCCCAGGGCTGGGATTACAGGTGTGCACAATCATGCTGAGTCTCTGTGGCCAGCACAGGGTGCCTGTGGCAGGGCTAGCACAGCCTGTGGTACTGGGATCGAACCTGGACCCTTGCGCTTACCGGGCCAGCGCTTAGACCCCTGACCTATCTCACCTCCCCTGGATATGTTAAGCTTGAAGCAGAATTGAACTTCTGAAAGAGTGGCATCAAAAACTGAAAAATCATGTAAAAATATAGTTGGCCAAAACAAACAAACATAGTTACCAGTTGTATTTTCTGTAGAGCAGTACCCAGTTATCCTTCTTAGCTGTCTCTCTAAAGAGATAATAGTGAAGAAATTGGAAGAGCTAGAGGAGGAAAACCCAGGCTTGTGGACAACAAAAAAGATGATTAATTTTATCACTCATTCATTTACTTATACAGCGTACATTTGTTGAGCTGTTTTGGGAATGCCAGTCGTAGCTTGAATTCTCTAATAAAGAGCCAGATAGGGCTTTGCTGGATAGTTCAGTTGTTTAAAGCAACTGAACTATCAGTGAATGTAGTTAGGTGCTTAGGACTATGGTTTGATTCCCAGCTCCAGAAGCTGAGCTAGAAATGCCCTTAAGGCAGCCTGAAAGTAGCCAAAAAACAACCACCACCAACAAAAACCTTCTCAAAAATTTTTGGGGCCTCTCCATTCGCTCAGTTGTTTAAATGCCTGCTTAAGCAAAGGCAGTCAGGCTCATGAAACTGTGGTTCGATCCTCATGCCTTCCCAGGCATGATCCTCATGCCTTCCCAGACCTGCCCTTAAGGCATCCTGAGCCAGTCCCCCCCCCAAAAAAAAAAAAAATCCTTCTGAACTTTTGGACGGGATATCATGTCTGCATCTAGTACTATGCGTAACCACTACAAAGACAACATTATGCAATATATTAATTATTGAAACTGTCCTACTAATCAGTTTTGAAACTGTATCATTGCTATTTGTTTCTCAAAAAATTAATAAAAGTTTTCATCTTAAAAAAAAAAAGAGCCAGATAAATATTGGTTCTCTGTTATGTTTGTACCTTTCATGTCTGAGGCAAGTCTTAATTGTTCCCTGAAAATGCTATCTCTTTGTCTTTTGAAAGGGGTACATACAAAGAAGATACACAAGCATATAGTATGATACCAAGGATGATAAAAATGCAATTGTAGAATTTATTTTCTTTGAGTTTCATTCTTTAGAGAGTTTCTGAGATTAAGGACAGAATTAGTCTGATTTATGCTCAGTTTTACAGAAAGGGTGCAAAGAGATAAGGAAT